AGTGATGACAGGGCAAACTCTGATGTGGTACTGATTGAGGACATGGCCATTCCAAACCCCAGAGAGACTCAGGGCATCACAAATACTGACACTGTGCCCCCTCCCACCATGAGTCATGCACCTAATATGGATTTTTTTGAAAGGGGACTGTTCCTTCTGACCAGCAGGTAGCCAGCCAGGGGCCGGAACTGGAGGTCTCCCAGGATCCTGTGCCCCTTCAAGCCACATCCACAGGGCCCCCTCAGCCTTTGAGGCCAGCAGAGTGTGATGGGACGGTAAGCACTTCTTGGGAGAAGCTGGGGAAGTTGCTGCCTTGGACAGCGCTCCAAGTCTTCCCCATTCCTACTCTAGGTGCCAGCTATTGTACGGAGCATCCACCAGCATCTAATGTGCTCCGTTACGGTGGATGCCAGGCTGCCAACTAACATGGTGAAGCTGGCTGAAGAACACCCGGACGATGTGGTGCTGACCCTCCTGCGCTGTGCCCCATCGTGTGACAGGTATGGGGCCCACGTGCCTTGAGAGCTCAGGGCTCAGCGGCCTTTAGGGCCCATCGCCCTGCACAGCCTGTCCAATGGGCTCTGCCCAACAGGCAGAGAGGCCCAGGAGCCTCGGGCCCCTCTGTTTCCTGAGGCTGCTGCCAGTGCTCCCTCCCTGCCCCTCAGGGCACTGGGGCTCTGTCACCTGGGACCCCACAGCTACACAGGGCATGGCTCTGTGACTGAGACACCCCTGACACAGAGCTCTGATCCCACAGAGCTGCTGCCATGATGTGGCAAGCCATAGCCTCATCAGGACCAGCAATGGAGAAGGTGCTGCCAACTCTGCTCCATGTGATGGAGAACTGGCCCCTTTGCAGCATCTGCACCTCTGATGAGGACAACAAGGACGTTTTTGCTCTGGCTGTGAGTTTCTGGAACTGGCCTTGCCTGTCCCCTAGGTTGCTTCTCCAGCAGCTCTTCATCCTCTCCTTGCCTCAGGCTGGGCTGAAACCTGGGCTAGGGGCAGGCTCAGGGGGCACCGGGCCCGCTGCTCCCCGTGCATCTCCCCTCGGGCTCTGCCCCATGGACGCCTTAGCACTGAGCGCTGTCTTGGTGTGATTCTTTTGCAGGCAACTCTGGTGCTCTGGGTGATTATGCAAGTGCCTCAGAGCCATGAGGCCATGATGCATTATTCCGACTCTCTCTTTGCGGCTCTGCTGTTGCACGTTTTCACCACCACACAGCTGATGCCAGCAGAAGTTGATAACTTCTGGAGAGAATGCCAGGAGCAACACCGCCTTCCCGGAAAACCCAACAGGTGCCAGTCCTCCTGTCCTTCCCATGCCCTTGTGGCTGACACCAGTGCACCCAATGTGACCTGGCCTTTGCTCTGCACACAGCTTTGCAGTGCAGGCCATGAAGGCTCTGCTCTGCTTTCTGCACTATGACAACGAGTTGATGGCCATGGAGCGCAAGTGTGGCTGGGAAACGCTGCTCCGTGCTGACACCCAGCACTATGCCGTGGGTCTGTTGGCCAGGTGAGACCCCTTCTCGCCACTGCCTCTGAAATGTGTGCCCTGTGCCCAGGGTGCCCTACCACAGTCCCTGTGGTCCTGGCCAGAGGGCTTTGCCATTGAGGGATGGCTGAGCAGACTAGAGAAGTCTGAGAGGAGGGTTAGCCCAGAAGGAGCCCCATGGTCCCAAAGCACCCATGGTCCCCCCAGGGATGCTGGGGAAAGGCCAGATCTCCATGAGTCATCCCTGGGAGAGGTTTGGCCTCCCCCCACCCCCCACCTCTGTGTCTTGGTGCCATTTCCCCCCTTCCAGGGTGATGCGCCGTGACTTGACGCCCTTGTGTTACCATGTGGCACACCAATTTGTCCGGAGGCTCATCAGGGAGGAGGCACCTTGGGATCTGTCCTCCCTGGCATTCCTTGTGGAGGTGAGCCCCATGGCCAGCACTACCTCGCTGAGCTGCCTGCCAGCCCTGTCCCCTTGCATAGCCACAGCTGCCTGGGACGGTGCCCACGCCCTGTGCTGCTGCCTGGGCCCAGCCCTGTGCAGTTCCAGGCTCCTGCCAGCCGGCTCCTCTGTCACTGCCCTGTGCCTTTCAGGTCCTGGATTGCCTGAACTTGAGTGACTGTGGGTACTGTGTCCTTGAGATCACATCAAAGCACCTGCAGAGCGAGTGCAGGCAGAGGCGTCGCCTGGCGCTCAGAGGCCTCGTGGTGCTCAGCCAGGAACCCTCGATGGTGAGAACGGGGCAGCGGCTGAAGCTGTGCTGGGCAAAGCAGCCCCTTGGGCTGGCTGGGCTTCAGGAGCTGAGGCAGCTGCTCCCAGCTCTCCTGCCTCACCTGCCTCAGTGCTTTGGGACAGGCCTTTGGCCTCTGGGCCCGGCAGCAGCAGGGTGGGGTTGCAGTGCCAGGGCGGTCTTGGCGCTGCAGCCGTTCAGGGCTTCCTAGCACAGCCTTGTGTTCCACACAGGCCACACCTATACGCCGCCTGTGTCAAAGCTTCCTGCAGCTGCTGAGTGACGCAGACGGGGAAGTGGTCGGCATGTCTCTGTCTGTGCTCACAAATGTGCTGAAGAGAAAAAGTCTTCATTTATCAAGGACTGCTGCCCCCAAGCTTGCTGAGCCACTTGTGCTCCTCTTTGACCATGTAAGGCTCTGTGCCCCGGCCACGGGCACTGGCTACTGCCCACACAAACTTTGGGCCTGTGGATTTTCAGGCCTTTGCCCAGGTGGGCTGGAGAAGTTGGCGCTGAGATCTTTTCCTCCTTCCTTCCTCCAGGACAAAAGCCACGTGCAGGTGCTCTCCATTCACCTCTTCCGCAATACGATGAACCTGGTACTGGAAGAGGGAAAAAATGCAATGGAGGGAATTGTGAAGCAGAGCCTGCTCCCGCTCATTTTGCACTGCCACGACGACAACCAGCGCGTGGCTGATGTGAGCTTTTGTGTGATGCTGGTGGACCACTGGGAGGCGGCTGGGCTGCCTCCTGCCCTGCTGCCTCCCAGGCTGCGGCCTCCTCCTGGCCTTGGCACAGGGATGCAACTCCTGTGCCCTGGGCAGCAATGGCATCTCTGCATCTCTCCAGGCCTCCCGGGAAACGCTGCACTGTGCTGCCACCTTCTTAAATAACACAGAGCTCCTGTGTGTGCTGCCAACAGAGGATCTGTCGAAGATCACCGAATGTGTGGTAAAGGACGGCCTGGAAACCCCAGCCTCAGCCTGGAGAAGCTCCCTGTCCCCGGGGCTCAGTGTGTGGGGCTGGCAGCTGTGGCCCAGTGCTGCACCCATGGGAGCCAGCCTGTGCCTCACACGCTGCTCCCTTCCCTGGGACACACGGGTTCCTCTTCAGGCTCCTGTGGCCCTGAGCCGGGTGCCGATGGAGCCCCAGCCCAGTGGGGCTGCTGCCCGGTGCCTCAGGGCTGGGCGGGCACGGGAGGCCGGGGCTGGCCGCAGGCAGCACCCGGCCGAGAGGCAGAGCCCGCACCGACCCTTCCCTCCTGCCGCTCTCTGCAGCTGGAACAGGACGAGAGCCGAGCGGCCGAGCACCTGAGCCGGGCTCTGCCATACCTGGACAGCCCACAGGAGTCCCTGCGAGAGGCGGCCGTCAGCTTCATCGGTGAGCCACGAGCCTGGGCTGGCTCCCCGCCCCGCCGCAGCTCGGCCCCGGCCCCGGCTGCTGCTGTCCCGGCAGCGGCACCCGGGCCCGGCGCCCTGGAGCCCCGGCTGCCCTCGGGGCTGCTGCCGGCCTCTGGCAGCCGTGCCCTTGGGCTGAGTCAGGATGCGGCAAGGGCTGGGGCTGAGCCCTGCCGGGGCGGGAGGCCGTGTGGCCCCAGGGCTGGCAGCGCCGCTGGCAGGGAGCTTTGCTGCCAGGGCCCTGACAGGCTTTATGTTCCCAGGGATGGCCAGGATGTTCATGAACAAGGGCGCACAAGGAAGAGCTGCAGACCCTCAGTGAGGGTGAGTGAGAGCAGCGGGCTGGCACTGGGGGCTGGCAGGGGGCAGTTGCAATGCCTGGGACGGGAGCTGCAATCCCTGGCCCAGCTGCAGAGTGCTTCGTTCCCTGTCTCGGTGAGGGCAGTGCGGGCAGAGAGAAGAGAGATTTCAGGGACAGGGGTGGGAGTTGTGGCCAGCACCTTCTGGCTGATCCTGTTATCTAGTTCTCTCTTGTGGCCATTGCAAGAGCCAGGTGGAATGTCCTTGGCAGGAATGTCTCCTAGGATCCCTGCAGATGCATGCCCTGACCGTGCCTCTTGTCCTCTCTCTTCCAGCCACTGAAGCCCCGACAAAGACACCACTCCATCCCACAGCAACCTGAATATCCAAGCTCGGTTTGCCAGTGAACAAGTGTCCCAAGAACAGCAGCAGGAGACACTGAAGAGGACACCACCTCCCAGTGCCACTGGAGATCCAGGCACAGCTGACAACTGGCACAGCTGAGCCTGTGGGATTTTCACGGGGCTTCAGCCCTCTCCCAGCCTGTAGATAGCTCCCTCCAGCCCTCAGACTGTGCCCATCCCCTTTTTTCCCTCTATTCTTCCTCCCTTTTGACAGCTCCTTACCTCCAGCCCTCAGTCCATGCCCATCCCCTTCTTTCCCTTTCCAGCTCATCCCTTTGCTTCACCTTGCATTAATAAACAGTTTGCCTTTTTCACTTAACCTGCATCTGTCTGGAGTTGAAGGGACACAAATCCAGAGCACTGTGACACACAGGCCCCTCCTGCCGTTCTGTCCTGCACCGTGTTTTGTGCAGAGACGCAGAGGAAGGAGCGCAGATCAGGCTGGAAAGGTCCCTGTGCTGAAGGCCCGGCTCCACAGCATTGTGGAG